CACAAAGGTGGTGGTAGTGAAATAAGCTACTTTAGGTATTGTATGAAATTTAAGAAGGCTTTCGCAGAAAGGAATGGAACCAAACTGATAGTGTGCATACTTTATAAATTAACATTTTTAACTTAAAGATTATTTGGGGGCAGGCATGAAGCCCTATTTGAAAAATAACTAAAGCCAAAAACCTGGTTTTGAGGGAGGTTCAAGTGGTAGAACACTTGCCTAGCAAGCCTGAGATCCTGAGTTCAAGCCCTAGTACAGCCATAAAGTTATCTCATACGTATAGTCTTTGACTCTTTTATTTTTCCTCCCCATTTTCTTTTTAAAAAAAATTGTGGGAGAGGAAAGAAGAGCCAAAGAGCAAAGGTGAGTGGGAAATCCACACTGGAAAAGTCATGACAGTATTTCTTCCAAAAATTTTGCCCAGATGCTGGAGGACCAGGCCTGTATCGTAGCTAGTCTGAGGATCACAATTCAAAGCCAATCCTGAGTAAGAAAGTCCATGAGACTCTATTTCTACTTCCAGAAAACCAGAATGGGTACTGTGGCTCAAAGCCGTAAAGGGCTTGAGCAAAAAACAGCTCAAGGACAGCACTCAAGCCTAGAGTTCAAGCCCCACAACCAAACAAAAAAAAAGGAAAGAGAGAGAGAGAAAAGAAAGAAAGAAAGAAAGAAAGAAAGAAAGAAAGAAAGAAAGAAAGAAAGAAAGAAAGAAAGAAAGAAAGAAAGAAAGAAAGAAAGAAAGGAAGGAAGGAAGGAAGGAAGGAAGAAAGGAAGAAAGGAAGAAAGGGAGGAGGGAGGGAGGGAGGGACAGAGGAAGGAAAATTACTAGCAAAAATGTCAAAATGATATTTTTTTTTAATTTAATTTTATTTTATTTGAGAACATACTGTACAGAGGGGTTACAATTACATGGGCAGGATAATGCGTACATTTCTTACCAAGCATCGCAGCCTCCTCCTTTGTTTACCCTTCACCTCCCTTCCCAGCCTCCCCCCTCATACCCCCCCCCTCCCCACACCGACATTGTAAAGCTGGTTTTGACATGACATTTTGTACTTCTCATTGTTGCAACAGGTCAAAATGATATTTACAATGTGGATATAATGTGCTTTAATCAAATTCACTCTATCTATATTACTCTTTCTTAACCACTCTCCCACCTCACCTCTCGTTTTTCTTTTCACAGACTTTGGTGGGTGTTATTGTGCTGCTTCATAGGTCAGATCTGTTATCCATCTAAATCTTTGAAAGTATCTATGCAGCACTCTCCTTTCCCACTTCTCACAGCCACTCATTTCCTCCATCTTTTAAAATGATAAAAGTCTCTCTTTTACAACAACAACAACAATTTGTAGTAGAAGAAGGAAGATCTTCAACAGGCTATATCCTGAAAACTTTGCTTATTATGCAACATTAGCTAGACCCTGAGGCCAGAGGAAAAAGGTGCCAGGGCCACAGGGAGTGGCCATCTTACACACCATTCTTTCCTCCAAACCATCATGAGTTGCAGAATGCAGGATTGTGGAAATAACAAGTTTAATTTGTGTTCATTTTTTTAAGATAGATGGTGAGGAATCAATATTAAGTTCCTTCAATGTGGTAATGTAGTTAAGAATGTAATTTTTAAGTTTGTCGGACAGTATATATATATTTCAAAGTTTGGTGCAAAACATTGCTGTGGCAGAGCACCACATGTGGGGGAAGAATGAGGAGACATCTCTCCCTTAATTCTCTAGCAAACTTTAATATGCACAGCAGTCAGTTAGGAGTCATGATAAAATGTAGAGGCCATTTAGTAGGCCTGTGACAAAGCTGGGATACTATATTTCTTTCTTTTTGTTTGTTTGGCTGGTTCACTTCTGTTCATTTGATGCAAGGTCTTACTATGTAATCCAGGCTAGTCTCAAACTCACTATGTAGCTCAGGCTGTCTTTGAATTTGCTATATTCCTATATTAACTAACATACTGAATTCTGAGGTTATACATATTTACATCATCTGACTAGATGAGAGTCTACATTTCTAACAAGCCCCCAGGTGATACTTACAATTTTTAGTCTGGCTCCCAGACTGAGTAGCTCCTAGACTGAGTAACTGGGCCTAGAAGCCAACACTGTTTTATCACAGAACTGGGGAGCATGTTACACAACTTTGATAGGTGTTTTCTGAATCAAGAAGACCTGGAAGACATGCAGAATGCATTTGTTTGTGTATCTATCCTAGGGATTGAATTCAGTGCCTGACTACTGTTTCTAAGCTTTTGTGCTCAAGGCTAGTGATCTACCACTTAAGCCACAGCTCCACTTCTGGCTTTTGGGTGGTTAATGGGAGGAAAGAGTCTGATGTACTTTTCTGCCCAGGCTAGCTTCAAACTGTGATCCTCAGATCTCAGCCTCCTGAGTAGTTAGGATTACAGGTATGAGCCACTGGTGCCAGAGATGTGCGTATTTATAGTTAAGTTTTGCTCAGAGTAGTTAAGTCTTTTTTTTAAAAAAATTAATTATCTTTGGGCTGGGAAGGTGGCTCAGTGGTAGAGCGCTCGCCTTGTATGCCTGAGGCCCTGGGTTCGATTCCTCAGCACCACATAAGCAAAAAGAAAAAAGCTGGAAGTGGCGCTGTGGCTCAAGTGGTAGAGCGCTAGCCTTGAGCTGAAGAGCTCGAGGGACAGCGCCCAGGCCCAAGTTCAGGCCCCAGGACCGGACCCAAAAAATAAAAAAAATAAAATAAAAAAATTAATTATCTTTAAGTAGTTGTGCAAGCAAAGGGGTTGGCCATCTAACAGCTGTTTTATGAATACAATGTATCTTATTCAATGTCTCCTCTTTCAACAAACTCACCCACTCCTTCTCTACCCATCCCTTCTCTCACTCCTCTTAATTTTTCAGGATATACATCAGGTGATATAACTGTAAAAAATTCCTTTGTCCACATCATAAAGTATACAAGACAGATAGAACAATTCTCATTTCTCTGCACCGGAGCCTGATAGTCTGAGTTTTACAAATAAGGTAAATGCAGAAAAATCACCCTGCAAAGAGCTCACATCATGAACCATGCATATTCTTATCATGAAAATTGATGTCAAGAGTAGAAAAAAAAATTTAAAAACCTATTGCACGTTTTGCTTATTTCTAAGAGAAGCAAATGAAACAAATGGGAGCCAGGCCATTTGGGGGTGTAGAACTTAGTACAAATGAAGTTTGCTTTCTAAGAACAGTAGTCATGAAAGAAATCAAAAGTTAAACAGGCCACAACTGCCTGCTAAACAGCCTGCACATTTTGCTATCTCATGAAAAGCATAATGATGGTAACGAGGTGAATTAATAAACCTCCTAGTGAAACCACCATTCAAATACGTGTGGGGTAATTTAATTAGCCTCAGCTGCACTTTCTCCGTCAATGCCAAACTTACACGGATTGAATTGTTAAATATATTTTTCACTCTTGTGATTCTGAGAAGTTTATTTTTTACCTGGCAAATTATTTTAAATGTGAGACAAAGCAGGGTAGCAGTGGTGAAATCACACAGGAAGCCCTTCTCTCTGTTCCCCAGCCTGGCCGTCACAGCCCCAACCCAGTGCACAAAGAGCTGGTGTGAATTTCAGATCCTGGGTCTGCTCTAAATCATGGGAACAGGAGAAATTAGAAATGACATCGTTTACCCAGGGGCCTTTGCCATGGAGTACTTTTTTTTGGGGGGAGGGGAAGATTTTTACATGAGTCTCAGAACTTGTTCTTCATTAAGTCACGTGTATCATTATGTCATTGTGTTAGGGAGGAAAGCAAGAACATATTATTACATATTATTAGCTGGAGATTTATTTTTTTAAACTCTACCTTTCTCGTTTCACTTCGTTGTATGTGGTGTTTCCTGTCTTTGCCCCCCATCTCAGATATCTATTCTTTCTTTCATCTCCAGATTTTTGTGTTGTTGTTGTTTTTTTTAATTGTGGCAACCTGTGCTGACTTTCTTGGTGCAAGACACTGAGGAAATACATTTCTTCATTTGCACAATTTCAGAAACACACTCTATAATGCTGTTCAAACAGAGTCTCTGGTCATTTCACTTTTTTGTTGGTCCATTCCATTGCTCTCCCTTACCCTTTCCAGCTTTCATTTTTAGAGCAAGGGAGGAAATCATGAGAAATAACTTTTTTTTTTTTTTTTTTTTTTTTTAGGAGAAGGAGAATGATTGTCATTGAAACTGATATGTCTACTTGATAACAAAAACTGTCCAAGCCTCCCACTGAATGTGAGCCCGGAGGCTGGGAAGAACAAAGCCCCCCTCTGAGGGGCGTCGGGAGGGGCCGGGGTCATGTGCAGCCTCTCATCCCGGTGGCACCAGCCAGAGCCCACAAACCATTTTATCATCTTCTGGCCGTAGGAGATCAAGGGAGGCAGTGTTTGGAAAGTTGCCTTCCAGGGGCTGAGTTAAGTATTTTGTCTTTTGTTTGTCCTGGTGGCTTCCCTTTTTGCTTTTTTTTTTTTTTTAAGATCTGAAGCCAGGGAAACTTCTGGACCCCATTTCTTTCCTTTTTTCTTTCTTTCTTTCTTTCTTTCTTTCTTTCTTTCTTTCTTTCTTTTTCTTTCTTTCTTTCTTTCTTTCTTTCTTTCTTTCTTTCTTTCTTTCTTTCTTCCTTTCTTCCTTTCTTTCTTTCTTTCTTTCTTTCTTTTGGTCTAATTTGGGTGGAAGCTTCATGAGTACTTTCCTAACTTGTTCCTGTGCCTCTCCCTCCCCCGCATAAACCAGGAACCTTTTATTGATCCTTGGAAGCAAGAAAAGGACATTTTGTTTCTCTAGTGGGGACCTATTTCTGCTCCAGGTCAAAAGCAGTTTTGACTATGTTTGTAGAAGTTTTCCATACGCTACTTTTTAATTTTTTTAAATGATAAATGTATGAAATAAGTCATCGAATTTAGAAAATAATAATAAATATTTCTAAGGAGATGTCTATGACCCAGAGAGGTTAGTTTAGTATTGTCAAAATTAATAGCAACATGTACTCACTTCAACAGCACATATACTAAAAGTGGAATGATATAGAGAAGATTAGCATGGCCCCTCTGCCTGCAAGGATGACATACAAATTTGTGGTGTTCCATATTTTTTAATTAACAGCAATATATAAAAATACTGCATTCAAATATGTCATGTGATATTACTTCCTAAATTGTTAGCAATAAAATGCTCATCTTAAAATAAGAGTCTGGGAGGGGTTAGTGGCTGGTTGTGGCCAATAAGACGGGCCGCTAATGAATGGTATGAGATTTTGTTTTGGAGGGATGATGAAAATGTCTTAAATCAATAGAAGTGATAGTCATTCAATTTTGAGTATACTGGAAAACAGTCAATTGTGTACTAAATCGTTTAAATAGGGATACAGTTGGGCCCATTGCAACAATGAGATATACAAGTCATTTTGTCAAAAAAACGAACTTTACAACTTTGGTGGGAGGGGGAGAGGGGAGAGGGGTGGGGAGTGGGAAGCGATGGGAAGGGGAAACAAAGGAGGAGGCAAAAATGCTTAATAAGAAATGTACTCATTATCTTGCCCATGTAATTGTAACCCCTCTGTACAGTATTTTCACAATAAAAATAAAAATAATTAAAAAATAAGATCACCTTTATTGGAGAACTTCTAAATTTTACTAAGGCCTAAATGGCAGAGAAGAGACCACCAATCTATCCTCCTTTTTGAATCCAAGTGGAATATCTAAATCATTCAAAACCATCACAGCATAAAAATCCTCATTTCTATCCTTCTCTCTGTCCACCTTCTCCCTCATTCCATCCTATCCAGAAGTAAACAGTTTCATTAGTTTTTTTTCTTTTGTTTTCTATCTTTCAAGTGATTCTCAAATTGTAGCCTTGCAGCTGGAAGCTATGGCTGGATGCCAGATACTCATTGAATTGGAATTTCTAATTTAGTAAGTCTGGAGCAGGACCTGATGATTATATCTGTAGCAAGTTCCCAGGTAATGCTGATGATGTGGTGATGCTGGTTTGTGGCACCAATAAAGCTTAAGAAGAGAAGTCAGGACAAAGAAGAGATCAGTGACAAGAATAAGGAAAGGTCCAGGGTAATTAAGCAGCATCTTGAGTTTGGTAGGTAGATGAGAGGACCAAATATTTTCCTTAAGCAACCTTAGCAATGGAAAGAGTGATACTAAAGAGCCTTCAAGAGTAAGGAGATTGCCAGATGAGGCTGGGGGAAGCATCAGGCAGCTCATTCTGCATACCCAGCTCTGTGGCTGCTCAGCAAAATGACTGAGGCCACAAAATCTTTAATTCTCTTTACATAGTTGAAATTGAAAAACTGATAACACGATCCAGTTAGTGGAAACACTATCATGAAATCATGTAATATGTTTTCAACTATATATTTGCTGAAATATGGATATAGATCAAACATTTCTCATGAAAATCTGTGTCTGAATTAAAATATATATTAGATATTTTAAAACAGCATGACTGATATTTTAATCTTTCAGCACCCAGAGGTCAAGGATTTCTGTGCCAGGAATGGATCAGGTATGCAAATATAATGGTAATGCAGAGCATGTGCCTGGAGCAACATGTCAGCTTGTGTCATCTTGGATGTCCCAGAGACTTGGATGTCCAGGTGTGCTAGAACATACTGTAGTCCTACCACACACAAGCTGGTGCAGGAGGACATGAGTCTGAACAATCTGGCCTACACAGTAAGAACCTATCTCAAAATAATGAGTAAGTATAAAAAAAGCAAATATAAAATAACTTCGTGTAACTAAACATCTCACTCAATGGTTCTCATCAATAGCACAGATTGAAATATTTTTGATATATTGAGGTAAGACACTAACCCTGAGAAAGAGAGAGATACTTACTCAATGCTGAAAATGGAAGAGTAGCCAGGAACTGGTGGGTAACGTGGTCAGGAAACGGAAAGATTCAAATAAGCTATTGGAATTCCAACAGAAGTCATGGAGTAAAGGTAGAAGAATGACATGGGGATGCAAGAAATCTACTGCTTTGTAAAGTGACCTTGAACTTCCTCAATCAAATGTAATCTTTCTGTCTTTGAACTTTCACGCAATGTGTACTTCTTTGGTAAATATTTAGTATACTTTGAAGTGCAACTATCATGGTATCTATAGAACCTCTCCCCAGCTTCTCTTTGCACACACACACACACACACACACACACACACACACACACACACACACATTCTCACTAGACTGAAAATTCTCTGAAATTTGGAGTGATGCTTTCTTCATTTACTGCAGTTTACTAAATCTCAATAAATGTCAAATTAGGTTCAAGATGATTATAAACAAAATAATATAGAGACTGGACAATGTGAAAAATAGAAGGCCAGGTGTGGTGCAATATCACAGAGCTCTGCCCTCTGTGTCTTCTTGTCCATTATTTTTGTTCAAGTTTTGCATGGAAGCCTCGTCAGGTAAATATCACAAATATGAGCCAGAGTGCATCATTAAATGCTTTTAAACAGGAGTCTGAGCAGGAAGCAGGATAGGCTCATAATAAAGGTGAGACTGAGAGGAGTGGTGCAAATATCTCAGGGTCATCCACTCAACACAGCTTTTGCACCAAGCATGTGTTCAGCTCTGCATGTGTTTGCAGCTGGAGTTATAGCAATTGTCCCAAGGCCAAGTGTTAATGGAAATATGAAAGTGAAAACAAGAGAAGGAAGATAAGTCAGTCCCAAAGCCCTGGTCCTCAGACCAGCGCCCACTAGATGACACACTTGAGTATTACATTGTTAGAACAAACAAAGTCTAAGATACAGAAACCAGACAGGGTAAGCTAACATCCACAAACGCCACCACAACAGGTTTGAACACCGTGACTGATACTTTAATCCTTCAGCACCCAGAGGTCAAGGATTTCTGTGCCAGGAATGGATCAGTTACGCAAATATAATGGTAATGCAGAGCATGTGCCCGAAGCAACATGTCAGCCTGTGTCATCTTGGATGTCCCAGAGACTACACATGACACAAGCCAGGATATCCGAAATCCTAACATCAACTTCCTCCTTACAGCACTCTACATCCTTTCAAGGATAATTAACAATTTGGCAAAATTGATTTTGAAAAGAGGAGAAACAAAGACCAACTTTTATTTACTTTTTTCATTTCTTTCCCTAAGATCTATTTCCCCCTGTACTCCTTACAGTTCAAGCTCATTCTGTAAACAATTGAGTCTCATTTTGTTTTTGAATGTTGGGTAACTCTATAGTTTAACAGCCATCTGGACACATCTGGTGACTCTCCTGTCTACATTTATGTAACCTGGACCATCCACAGGAAAATGCAGCCTGAATTTTGCACAGGACTGTGGAAAGAGCATGGCATCTCTCTCAAAGTGAAATGGAAAAACTTAGTCGGCCCAGGGAGGCCTCCATGTTGAGCTGCAGATTTGGATGTGTGGAGCCAAATCTTCATTCCATGTGACTCCAGGGGAGTTTTGGTCAGCATGTAATTCCATGTGGCTTGGGCAAGGAAAAGACAAGAAGAACATGAAACTGCCAAGTCTGAGGCCTATTACGCAGTTGTGACCTGACCTAAAATGTGATGCCGAGTTGTGTGTGGGTACCTCAACCATAAAAAGGCAGCTGTGGTCTTATTAGTCGTGAACTTGAGATCATTTTAGCAGAAGACGAATTGCCCCTAAATGATTGATCTGGTATTCAGAGGAAATGCTGTTCTCTGTGTTTCTCCCAAATGGAGACACTAACCAGACGCTTGTCCCACACCCAGAATGGGTATTTGTGGTGTGGCTTGTACCACGGCCTGCTGGGGAATGATGACCTTGGACTGACAGTTCCCCTTTAAGTAGCAAACTTGTGTTTTTCATCTTAACATGATATGCAAGCAGAACTGAGACACAACTACACCCTTTCACACACCGCATGTCTGTGCCAGGTTTAAGCTGATAAAGTAGGAAGGAATATTTTGCAAGTGGCCTGGCTGAGGCTGGAATTGGGGCTGTTGAATGAAAGATGGTGATCCCTCTTTTTTTTACCCTCAAACCCCCTCAAAGAAAATCACAGAGACACTCCATGAACATGGTCTCAAAGTAGCTTAAAATTTCAAGCCAAGAAAAAGGTCCCTCCCCTTTCTTTGTGAGGGTCTGCAGAAAAATAACCTGTTTGCTTGAGAGATTAGACTTAACAGCTTCAGCCGTGCATAGGAAGGTCTGACCCTGACAATTATGGGGCAGTCAGGAAATCAGCAGTGGAGGAGAAAAGTAAGCCCAGATCAGCTGGCCAAACTCACATAGGATAAGAACTTGGAAGGGAAGAATTGGAGCCTGAGTAAGTCTATTCTACACCCTTGTCTTCCCCTGAGCCACACACAAATGAAAATCTTGGGCAGATGGTACGAGATTTCCCACATACATACACATGGCGTCCCTTATTTCTAAAAATCAAAAACAGAGCATTGGTATTATTCCTATTCTGCTTCCTAACCTATAACACAGAGCTTGATTTTCTCCTGAACCTTCTGCTCACCTTGTAGTGCCTTGAGCCTTTGTGGGGGAGTGGAGAACAGGAGAGTAAACCGCCAGGACCCAGGCGTTTTAGGTCTTGGAGCATACAGATTACTTCCAGGTGTGAACTAAAAAGAGTCAAGTGTTATATTAGCTATTTGATGAGAATAAAAGCCTTGAGAATAGCATTTGTTTGTATAGCATTTGATTACTTACAGAGCAATTTCTGCTCTTACCTCATTTTCATTCTCACAAAGGCTGTGTGAAATAAGTCAGACAGGTGTTAGTTCCCACAGATGAAGAAACTGAGCCCCCAGTTGATTCTGTAACTGGCCAGAAATCACAAAAGTATGTGGTAGAGCTGGCATGGTCTAGAGATCTTGTCATTGCATGAGATCTTATCTTGGGTTATAAAATAACACAATAGTATGTGTGACCCATAAACATCCTCTGGCATCATAAATTCAGCCATAACCCCTCCTTCAGTGGTGGTTTCCTCAACTGAGATCACTATGACATCTTCCTTATAGCTCTCTCAAGTTTCACTCCGTGAAGCCTATCAAACTTCTTTCTATGAGGATATCCTTGACACTAAATTTTGGACTGGACCAAG